TGGACCCAGGAGGCAGTGGGCGGGGCTGCCACACAGGCCCGCCCAACCCTTAAAGCAGCTTGTGAGGAGCACAGAGAGGTTGAGCCCCTGGCCCGAGGTCACACAGCTGGTCCCTGCAGGAGCCAGAATCTGACCTACAGACACAGGGCACCCAGCTCTGTGCATCCTCGGCCCTGAGTCACGGGGGGCGCGGTGGGGGGCCGGGGGGGAGCTGTCTCAGCGCCTGGCACAGAGGGGGGCTGGGTCCTGGGTCCGAGGGGAGGTCGGGCTGTCACTCACATCTGCATGGCAGATGGTGTCAGAGGAAGGAGGGCTCCTCGCCCACTGGTTTGCCAGGAGTCCAGCCTCGGGGGCTGGGAGCCTGGAGGGAGGCCTGGCCTGCCAGGGGGACCCAGGGGTCAGCGAGCCCGGCCTCTCCCTCACCCTCTGCTGCGTAGAAGGCCTCGAAGCCCGTGAACGCCTTCTCGTTGGAGTAGTCGGAGCGGAAGGTGACGTTCAGGCTGGGGCCGGGCGAGTAGAAGGTGGTGTTCCCCGGGGCCTGCTCCGTGTCCGTGCTCTCCCAGCCGCACAGCGTGGCCAGCACCTCGGTCCCCGAGCTCAGCTGTGGGGTCGGGGGTCACTGGGAGGGTCAGCCAGACCCAGGCCTGCCCACTCTTCCAGGCCTCCCACCCTCCCAGGCCTGCCCGCCCTCCCAGGCCGGACTCCACTCCCAGGGCCCCCTGTCCCCGAGCCCCAGCCTGTTCTGGGGGGGCCCCTGTGGGCACCTTGACGAAGTCGTACTCGCAGCGGTAGGAGAGCTCCAGGTGGAAGTGGGTGAAGTAGAGGCGCAGGCGGTAGCCCGGGGGCGCCGTCAGGGTCCAGCGCAGCTCCTGGTCGTCCGGGTACTTCCCCGGGAAGCCAGGCGACGCCAGGCGCCCGAACACGGGCTGCGGCCACTGTGTGCCCCCGGGGGCGGCTGTCGAGCCCCAGAGCAGGCCCAGGAGGATCAGCAGCCTGGGGGGGGGGGGGCACAGGAGGGTGGTGAGGGTCTGGGGACCTGCTGCCACTCCTCGCCCCTGCCAGGGAGGCTGCGGGGGGCTCCCACCCACCTCATGGTGCGACCGTCCAGTTGGCCAGGCCGGGTCTGGATTCTCAGTCTCACCTTTGATCTGTTTGTCCAACAGCCGGTCCTGCCCTCAGCGTCCTGCCCCTGGAATTCTGGGAATCGACCCGGTGACTCCTGCCGGCCCAGATGGCGAGGCAGGGAGGACAGGACAGTCCAGGAGCCGGGGCTAACCTGGTGGGAGGCCAGCGCTGGGGACAGACTCTGCTCTGCCCCTCGCCCTCCACCTTCGCGTTTCCTCCCCAGGGTGAGCGTGGCTGCCCAGGTCTCCATGACGCCACAGGTAGGAAAGGAGGAACGCACCCACCCCTTGCTTCTCTCCCCCCCACCCCCCCGCCCCAGTCCTGCTGTGAAACACCTGAAAATAATAAACACATAAAATAAAATAAAACGCCTGATGCAGGAGGGCGGGGAGCATGGCGGAGGGGGCGGCAGGTGGGAACACTTCTCTCTGAGCGGGCAGCGGGCCCAGGCGTCAGCTCGGAGCACCAAGTCCTTCCGGAGGCGTAAGGAGCAGCCGATTCCTCTTTCTCACCCCCCGGCCCCGTGGCAACTCGGACACTGCTTCCCTCTTTCTAGCAAGAGACAGGAACCACAGCTAATAGATGCAGCGAATGGGGACCCATGTGAGCAGCCAGCGACCCCAGACTCACGAGAGGTTCCTGGAAGCTGATTCTTTTTAAAAAAAATCCCACCAGCCCTGACTGGTTTGGCTCAGTGGATAGAGCGTCGGCCTGCGGACCGAAGGGTCCCAGGTTCGATTCCCGTCAAGGGCATGTACCTTGGTTGTGGGCACATCCCCAGTGGGAGGTGTGCAGGAGGCAGCTGATCGATGTTTCTCTCTCATCGATGTTTCTAACTCTCTACCCCTCTCCCTTCCTCTCTATAAAAAATTAATAAAATATATTTTTTTAAAAATCCCACCAGAGGATGTTTCCATTGATTTGTAGAGTGGAAGGAAGGGAGGGAGGGAGGGGGAGGAGAGAGAGAAACAGCATGTGAGAGAGATACACTGATTGGCTGCCTCTCACACAGGCCCTGGCCGAGGATGGGATCGAACCTGCAACGCAGGTGCATGCCCTTGACGGAGAATCGAACCTGTGAGCCTGAGGTTCGCTGGCTGACACCCTAACCACTGAGCACACTGGCCAGGGCTGGAAACTGGTTCTTAAAAGGGGTGCAGTGGAGGGTCCCAGGCCCAGCTGAAGGGAGCGGGAGACAGAGAACAAGGGCATTAAGCAAACAGACTTGGCACCAAGAGCCCCAGCCCCTCCGAACGCAGCTCCTGGAATCCGGCAGCTGCCCGGCTCCTCCCTCGTCTCCGGGAAGTGCGACCAGCCCAGGGGGGAGGACTAGATACCGACTCTGAAGGCTCCACGGGCACATGGCTCAGCCTCCGTCACCCACAGTGAAGGCCGATCGACAAGCCCCATTCAGGGGCGGAGAGCTTGCTACCCCCACCTGACGAGTGAGCAGAGCATCCCAGGGTCACCGAGGAGAACCTCAACTGTGAGGAAGATTAAAAAGAAAAATCAACCAATCAGCTGAAGAATACAGAAACCCAGCAGGGAGGAGAAAATGCCCCCTGCCCGGCCGGCGTGGCTCAGGGGTTGAGCGTCGACCTATGAACCAGGAGATCACAGTTTGATTTCCGGTCAGGGCACATGCCCGGGTTGTGCAGGTTCCATCCCCAGTGTGGGGCGTGCAGGAGGCAGCTGATCAATGATTCTCTCTCATCATTGATGTTTCTATCCCTCTCTTTCTCTCTCCCTTGTTTTCTGAAATCAATAAAACTATATTTAAGCCCTAGCCTGTTTGGCTCAACCGATAGGGCGTCGGCCTGTGGACTGAAGGGTCCCAGGTTCAATTCCAGTCAAGGGCATATGCCTGGGGTGCAGGCTTGATCCCCAGTAGGGGGCGTGAGGGTGTGTGCAGGAGGCAACTAATCAATGATTCTCTCTCATTGATGTTTCTCTCTCCCTCTCCCTTCCTCTCTGAAATCAATAAAAATGTATTTTTAAAAATTATATATAATCAAAGGGTAATATGCAAATTAACCAAATGGCATAACAACCAGTCACTATGACGTGCACTGACCACCAGGGGGCACATGCTCAACGCAGGAGCTGCCCCCTGGTGGTCAGTGCACTCCCACAGAGGGAGTGCCGCTCAGCCACAAGCCTGGCTGATGGCTGGGGCTGATGGCTGGCGAGCGCAGCGGCCCACCTCCACAGCAGCACTAAGGATGTCCAACTGTCCATCAGTCACACATCCCCTGGGGCTCCCAGACTGTGAAAGGGTGCAGGCCGGGCTGAGGAACCCTCCACCCCCGAGTACACAAATGTCATGCACGGGGCCTCTAGTATATGTATATTTAAAAAAAGAAAGAAAATGCCCCAAACCCAAGCAAAACAATCATTGCTACCTTCAGAGAAAAAACAGAGGAAAGAACAGGATACTATTTATTTATTTACTAGAGGCCTGGTGCACGAATTCGTGCACGGGTGGGGGCCAGCTGGGCCGCCCCGATGGTGGCCAATCAGGCCGGGCCAGCAGGGGCAGGAGGGGATGTGGGAGGTTGGCCGGCCGGCCCCGCCCACAATCCAGCCAGGGCCGGCCAGGGGGAGGAGCTGCCCCCCGATTGGCTGGTTGGCCGGCCGCAGTGTGCGTCATAGTGACTGGTCGTTCCAGTCATTCCGGTTATCCTGGTCGCTCTGGCATTCGGTTGCTTGGCTTTTATATGTAGATTTTAATTTTGAGAGAACATTTATTAAAGCTGGGACAGTGAAGCAAAGGAAGGGCTTCGGATAGAAGAAGCAACAGGAGGGAGCTCAGGTGGGAATCTGCCTCGCTCCCTAGAAACGTTACAGGAAAGAAGTGAGCCAAGGTGAGGCTGCTGTCAGCTCACTGCAAAGGCACAGAAAGGGGCCTCGGAGACGGCGCAGCGGGTGAGCCTGGGACGAGCTGCCGCTGCCCCTCGCTTCCCTGGTTGCTGGTTTCATGGAGACCCTGAGAGTTTAAGAGAGAAAAGTAAAGGTGCAGGCCTGGGAGGGAAGAAAGACGCGTGTCCTGCTCCCGAGAGCCCACGCTGGGCCCTGGGCTCATTTTAAAGACAGTAATAAATAACTAATCAAAATAGAAAAGAGGCCCCCCTTTCCTCTCTGAAATCAATAAAATATTTAAATATATATGAATATTTAAATACACATGCATATTTAAATATATATGAATATTTAAATATATTTCTTGTATTGATTTCAGAGATGAAGGGGGGAGAGAGAGACAAAGATGCGAGAGAATCATTGATCAGCTGCCTCCTGCACGCCCCACACTGGGGATTGAGCCTGCAACCGGGGTATGTGCCCGGACTGGGAATCAAACCATGACCTCCTGCTTCATAGGTCAATGTTCAACCACTGAGCCATGCCTACTGGGCAATAAAAAAATGTTTTTTTAAAAATAAAAATGGGGCCCTGACTGGTTTGGCTCAGTGGATGGAGCGTCGGCCTGCCGACTGAAGGGTCTCAGGTTCGATTCCGGTCAAGGGCATGTACCTTGGTTGCGGGCACATCCCCGGTGGGGGGTGTGCAGGAGGCAGCTGATCGATGTTTCTCTCTCATCGATGTTTCTGGCTCTCTGTCCCTTTCCCTTCCTCTCTGTAAAAAATCAATAAAATATATTTTAAAAAAAATAAAAATAAAAAAATAAAAATAAAAATGGGCTCTAGCTGGTTTGGCTCAATGAATAGAGCATGGGCCTGTAGACAGAAGGGTCCCGGGTCTGATTCTGGTCAAGGGCACGTACCTTGGCTGCAGGCTCCTCCCCACTGGGATCCTGGTCAGGGCTTGTGCAGGAGGCAACAGCATCAATGCTCTCACATCAGTGTTTCTCTCTGTCTTCCCCTCTCTCTTCCACTCTCTCTAAAAATCAATGGAAAAATATCCCTGGGTGAGGATTAAAAAAATAAAAGTATTTTTAAAAATAAAAATGGAAAAGAGCACATCTCAAAATGCTGAAGGAAGATTATTTCTAAGACGTCTATTCCCATCCATCATCACACATGAAGGTGGAATAGACCTTTCCATGAATGTCAGATCTTTAAAAATTTGCATCCAATTGTCCCTTCTCAGAAAGCCACTCTAGGATATGCCCCATCAAAACAAGGGAGTAAACCAAGAAAGGAAGTCACGGGGTCCCAGACACAAGAGTTCCAATAGGGAATTCCATGAGGGGCAGTCGGAATGCTCCAGACAGATCCTTCAGGAAGAGGAAATGACAGACACCTGCTGAGTCCAAAGATCTTTCAAAACAATTTTTTTAGTAATCGCTTTTTTCCCTGAATGAAAGCGATATATACATGCTCGTACAAATCATTTTAATAAAGCAATGCACATTGTGTTTATTAGTATTTCCAGTTATGAATATCCCATTAAATATAATCACGAATTCATTATAAATTATAACGGGGCTAGGTAAAATACTAAGATCGCCTATTCAAAAACTGATTGAGTAGCATATTGTTCAGCCCCTCATGAAGTGTGTTGTGTTCATGTTAAGAGCTTTAGAGAATTGGTTAAAAAAAAAAGTTTGAGGTTAAACAAATGATAAATTTATTGCAAACTAAGCATATGAAAAAGTCCCCAAAAAACCTCCAGAGGAAAAACAAGGAAGCCGTGGGGAAGAGAAAGTGGTCCCGACTCCTCGCCTCAGCTGCCAATGGCCTTCCTGTGGCTGCGACAGTCACACCGACACTGAGCTAACTCAGGTCCTCATGTCATTGTGGCGAGTTGAGGGGGGAGCAGGGGAGGAAAATGGTAAGTCCTCATCGTCCCTGTGGAAACTCGGGTCGGACAGCAATACAAGCGTGTTAAGTAGACACGGGCAAGTACCGAGATCAGCAGCTGCCCCCAGGGAGAGAGTGGGCACAGGCTGCCGCTTTCTTCTAACGATCCCCGTGGAGCTCACTGAGTCCTCAGACGAGCTCACTGAGTCCTCAGACCAGGGGCCTGGCTGATTTTGAGAAAGAATTAAGCTTCAAAACTTGAGATGGGATTCATGTTAACCTCCCTGCGGCCAACTGTGCCTGTCGGTCCCCCTCCATGACTGCTGGGACTTTAGGGGACTCGGGTCGTGTCCTCACCAAACCCCCCGCTTCTGCTTCAGGAGGTCCTGCCCACCCAGACTCGGAAACCCCTTCAAAGGTGCGTGAGTGTCAGGGGACTTGAATAAGAGCAGGAAGTGGAGAGATGGCATCGCAGACTCCCACTCCAGGTGGGGTAGTTTCCCAAATGGCTCAGCCACTTCGCGCACGCCCTGCTCCCTTCCTCCTCCTCAGGAGAGGCCATGGACCCCTCCGAGCTCAGCGACCCCTCCGAGCTCAGCGAGCACCGAATGACAGAGACAGAATTCCTAACGAAGCCTGTAGCAGGTGAGGACCCGCTCCCCTTACAGGTGGGGTACCCAAGTCATCGGAGTTGAGGTACAGGCCCAGCTGGAGCCCTGAGACGGGCCCCGCCTGCTCTGTCCACCTTCATTCCCTGGGCTGCCCTCAGGCTGGTGTGTGCTCCCCAGCCCGCTTGCTAGCTGGTCACCTAGTCCTCCTGTGCGGTTCGTAATGCGCTCCTCACAGGTGGCTGCGAAGGTTAAAGGAATTAAGACCTGGAGGGGGGGGGGGGGTCAGCTCTCTAACCAGCCACTGCGTGTCCCTTTGATGCATGAACTGCAGCCCAGAGGAGCCAACCATCACCTGGCCTCCCCGGAGAGGGGGGGGCGGGGGGGGCGGAAGGCCCTGGGGCACAGGTGTTGTTGGCTTCTGAGGGGGTGAGACTGTCCTGGAATTTGAACGGCTTGGGGTCAGACTTGCTGACCGAGGTCACACATCCAGTGCTGAGCCTGGGGTGAGGTCCGTGTGTGTGGAGCCCAGAGGATGAGTGACTGGCCTGGGGCTGCTCAGGAGTTGGCTGCGAATCGGGATGCTTGCTCCCCCCACCGCCCCCCCACCCCTATGAGAACTCCAGTCCCAGAAGCTGCTGCTTGGGGCCAAGGTAGCTGCCGGGCGGGGGTGTGGCTGGGGAGTGTTCTAGTAACACCCCCAGGCGGGGCCCACTCCCTGCTCCCAAGCCTCCCGGGATAGTCCACCCTCTGGCAGTGCCTCTGGACTGGTGACTGAGACAGGAGTGGGGGCAGGCCCTCTCCCCCCATCCGCACCCTGTTGTGGTGGCTGCTCTCCCAACACCAGTCTCAGGCAGGGCCTGCAGGAGGGGTGAGGCGCCTGGGGAAAGGCTGGGCGGGCGTTCAGCACCATGGAGAGGGCACGGGCCCCAGCGGCCACTCACACCTGCTTTCTCAACCTCAACACTTGGGGGAGCTTCTAGGACTTTCCCAGAGGGCACCCAGGGCGGGGCAGGCAGGGCTGGAACCCACGTCTGAATCCTGAGCCAAGTCAGGGCAGCGATGTGCTTCCAACAGGCCCAAGTAACAGCACCCAAACGCTCTGGAGTCACCTCCAGCACCCACCCCACGCTGGGACCTACCAATCCTCCGGGTCCGCCCAAATCACGGCAGGGCAGCCCCAGGAGCAAGCACAGCCCGGAGCAACCCGCCTCGATCTTGTCACCCCACAGCCCTGGCCCCGGGGGTCGGTCACCACCCGCTGGGGGGCTTGTGGGGCGGGTGGGGGAAGCTCCCCAGGGAGACTGGAGGCAGTTTGATGCCTGCTGTGCCCCTCGGTGCCAGTGGACAAGGGGCGGCTGGTCCGAGGTTGCACGGGAGGGCAAGGCCTGCCTATCACAGACACGTGACAGACACTGAGAGGCCAGACAACAGGTCCGGCTCAGAGCCCGGTACACGGAAACCCCCAACCATGGCGGCTGCAGCCCCCGCCTGGGCCCATTCAAGGTCTGGGAACACACGATTCAGAAGTTTGCTATAAATACATGTGTTTGGGGAGTGAGGGTGACAGAGGGCGGAGAGGGGGCTGTACACAGCTGGTATAGGCTTGGAGGCTGAACACCACAGGGACAGACAGTCCGCCAGCGGGGCAGGCGGGCAGCATCCTGGGGCCTGTAACACTTGGTTGTTGGGGTGCCGGCAGGGGGCCTGTCCAGGGCAACCTGGCCCGAGTCGGCAGCAGTATCTGGACTCAGCTCACATCATTCAGGGCCTGGTGGGACATGAGGCCTGGTCAGGAGGGTGCTGGGTCACCTGGGGGCTGAGGCAGGTGCCCCAGGAAGCCCTGGGTCCCCCCACCGGGCCCACCCCACCAGGGGCTCACCTTGCGGGCAAACTCGGGCAGGACGAAGGCCGCCCGGTGCACGTCGGAGTTGTAGTATCTCAGCTGCATCTGTTCCACCTGCTTCTGCGTCAGCGGCCGCACCGGCTCCTGGAAGTTGGTGCTCTGGGATGGGGGCGAGAGGGCATCAGGGTAGTGCTTTCCGTGACCACCTGTCCCTGCCCTGCCCCCACCCCCCGGACAGCCGGAAGCTCACTGGGTTCTTGCTGCACAGCATGAAGCCGATCTGGCCGCTGGGGTAGGTGGGGATGGTGCAGTAGGCGTAGCGCACCACGGGGAAGAGCGACCGGCAGAAGTGCTGCATGTCCTTGATGAGGTCCAGGTGCAGCCACTGGCACTCGCCTGGGGGAGGCGGCAGCGGTTGGCTTGGCGGCCGGCCCCACCCTGCCCCGCCCCCCGCAGCTCAGCATCTCCAGCGCTCACCCTGGCAGCAGAGGATCCCGTCCTCCTTGAGGGCCGTCTTCATGAGCTGGTAATAGGACTCCTTGAAGAGGCTCTCGGCTGGGCCTGCAGGAGGGAGGGCCAAGCGACAATGAGCACATTCTGGCTGAGGCCCCCTGAGCCTGGGCTACATAGACCCACAAAGCGGCCAAGGAGCAGAGCCGGGACTTGAACCCAGGTCTGTGGGACTCAGAAACCAACCAGGAAAGGGCACTTTAACCCCATTCCCGGGGGATTCTCATTGGCACTGCATGGTGGCATCTCCACCCTGGGCCTCGGTTTAAAAGGAGAACACCCCCCCTCCCACCCCAGTGCTGGCGTGTCCGGAGCAGAGAGGAGGCTGAAGAGGAAACTGGGGCCTCAGTGGGCCAAGGCCAGCGCCCCACTCCCCTCCTGGTCCCCAACCAACCGTGAACTTTGGGTAGTGGCCTGGTCCCCCTACTGTGCTGAGCTGTTTTTTTGGTGGGGTGGTGGTGATGGTGGGGAGCAAGGGGGAGGCTGGCTCCTGAAGTGGCAGCTGCTGGGGCCCGGGCCCATCGCTTGCTCACCCATGGGGTCCGAGGAATCGGTGATGATAACGTCGAAGGCGTCCTGGTTCTGTTTCATGAACTCAAAGCCGTCGCCCACGTGGAGGGTCAGCTTTGAGCTGGAGTAGCCAATGGCCATGCTCGGCAGGAACTTCTTAGAGACTTGAATGACATCCTGGGAGGGGGCGGGGGACCAGGCTGGAGCCGGATGGAGTCCCTTTCACGGCCCTGCAGCCTCGGGCCAGCCACTGGCTTCGTGGACCCCCCGTTTCCACAGTTTCCACATTTGTAAAACGGGGAGCACTCTGGGAGCTCCCTCAGCTCCTCAGCTGAATCTCCACCCTTCCCGCTCCCTCCCCAGACCCACGTGTCCCATCTGAGGGCTTTCTGGCTATTGCAGAGGGTGGCAATGCCAGCTCCCATCGGAGAGCCGGTCCCTGTCTCCACGAGCCCATGCTTCTCAGAGGCCCGCCCTGACCGCTGACCGGCCTCAGGCCATTATCATATCGCCCTTCACTGTCTCCTTTTAACTAGTATATCAGCTCCAACAGGGACGGATCTGCCTATTCACCATGGTACCCCAGCACCTAGAACAATGTCACTAAAGACATGCTGGGCGCCCTAATGGTTTGGAACGTCCTTGGGCCTTGCCTGGGACTTCAATTAAACACCAGCACCCCAGCTTACTGAGAACTGGGCATCGATGGCACCCGACTATGTCACTCAGTCACTTAAAGAGAGACTAATGACCTGCCCACACAGCCCACTCCGTGTGGAGCAGGGACTCGCACCCAGGCCCTGGGCCCTGCTCGGGGCACTCCACCTCGGTCAATCCTCGCACTGGAACCACGGACTCCACGGGAGGAATGGCTTCACCACCTCCCCGC